CAGTTACTGCTTCTGCCCCTAGCCATGATAATTACCTTAAAAATGGGATCTATCCCCCAAAGTAAGTTCAGGTGTGAAAGTGCTGACTTGGCTAGGAAGACCCATGCCAGGGGTCCTGCAGAAAGGTTTCAGTAATCCACATTCTACATATCCCCAGGGAAAACATTCTAGTTTTGGGGAACCAGATCTGGAACAGTGGGAACTGGAAATGAGTGCAATTCCATTTCAGTTGACAGCTTGATATCCATTCACAAAAGGCGAATTAAAGCTTCACAGGATTCCCATTCAGTTTACTATTGTTGTAAATGTTTTCCTGAAATGTCCCACTCTAGAATAATAGTCATTATGTAATTTTTCTCATATTATTCATATCTTGAATAGAAAGGTACTATGTCATGGGTATGAAAAGAAGGTTTCAGTGGTTAATCTGGGTTCAAATCCAAGTTTTGATACATATTAGCTCTAAACCCTTTGACAAATTATGTAACTTCTCTAAGTCTTCAATTTCTCTTCTGGAAAATGAGGATAATGATAGCCCACAGAATTGGTGTTTGTAATAAATAATATAATCTGTCTGGGTGCAGTGGCTCATGCCTATCATCCCAACACTTTGGGGGACTGAGGATGGAGGATTGCTTGAGGCCAGGAGTTTCAGACCAGAGACCAGCCTGAGCAACAAGGTGAGACTCTGTCACTACCAAAAAAAAAAAAAAAAAAAAGAAAGAAAGAAAGAAAGAAAGAAAAAAAAAAACTAGTTGGGCATGGTAGCACATGCCTGCAGTAACAGCTACTCTGGGAGATTGAGACAGACAGGAGGATCGCTTGAGCCCAGGAGTTGGAGGTTGCAGTGAGCTATGATGGTGCTACTGCACTCTAGCCCCAGAGACAGAATGAGACCTTGTCTCAAACCAAACCAAACCAATTGATCTACAGAAAATCACCCTGCATTTGGCATGAATATAATAAATGTGAGCTCACTCTTGGATATATGCAGTAACTCCCACTTTGCCCTTCTATTTTCCCCTATCTTCTTGGTGCCACTCTGGTTCTCTTCAGGTATAATGACAGAGAGCTGGGAGAGAGAGGTTCTCAGGTGTGCATAGGCCTCCAGCACCAACTTTGTATCCCAGCAGTGTCTTAGCTTGAAAAGCCACCCTCTTATAAATATCCTTATGATGATATGAGAATTCCCTGAAAGTTTGGGAGATGAATTCTTTTAATTCTGAAGCTAAGAATAATGAATACCCCAAAATCGTCACTATGAAGGTTCTGATGATAATGGTGCACACACACCTTTACAACATCAGTTTTTGCCATGACTTCTTGGAAAAACAATGGATGCCCTGACTTCCCCAAAAAGTAAAACTCAATTTGATATGTCTTTAAGAAACTGCATGTCAAAATTTCTAAAGTCTGAAATGTTTTGAAAATTATTTCAATTTTCTTGTGAAAATTGTGATTTCTTGTGAAAATCAAACATTCAGAAAGGTTTTTATAAACACCCATATGAAGTGAAATAGCATAAGTCCAGCTCTGTAAGCCACCTAAGATGAGTCAAAGGTGTAAGCTGAGAATGTTAAGCATAATTAACGGATTAAGCAAATACCTAAAGAATTACCTGTAATACTCTGACAGAATGAGCAGTCTAGGACTGAAGCAGAAATGAAGAGCAAGGCTGCACAGACATATGGGAAGGGTGTAATACTATAACTCTATCCTCCTCCTCTTGGAGGGATGGGGGGGCATCAACTGGGACAACAGTCCAGGCTTCTAACCTTTCCCATAACTGAATAAGAGCTCTGAGCAAGCTCCAAGATGCAAACATTTTGTAGACTGCCCCCACACAATTCCAGGAAGAGCCTCTACCATCTCTGAGTGTGTAGGAAGTTGCTCAACAACTAGAGACATTCCTCCCTGTTTGACCAGAGTAGCTAGGAGCCAGCTAAGTGATCTTATGTCATTTTTCCTCCCTTCCTCTCTGGTAGGTGGCTTGTTGACTTGAGGCCAAAAAGTCTTCTGAGGAGGAAAGTTAAGAAACTTTAATTAGGGTTTTGAAATTCAAATCCTAAACAACCCTGTAAATTTGATAGTAATCACCAAATTGCCCTCTAAAAAGGAAGTACAATTTTACACTTCCATAAATAGTTATCTGACACCTTTTGACAAAACTGGATCTCATTAATCTTTTTAGTTTGGGCCAATCATTTCTCATTATTGTTTACTTTTTCTTAGTGTCATTATAAAAGGACACCTTTCTACATGCTTGTGAACTATTTGTATTTCTTCTGTGAATTGCTTGTTTATGGCCTGTGTTCTATTTTTAAAATGGATTGCTTTTCTTACTGATCGTTAGCAATCTTTTATATATTCTGGATATTCATCCTTTTTTTAAAAAAATGTCACCATTGTTTTCTGTCAGTTGTCTTAATTATTGTTTCCACTGTACAGAGGTTCTTCTGTTTGAGATGTTCGGGGGCTTGGGATGAGCTTATCCCCAGTCTCAACTTCCCTCACGCTCTAGTCTGTGGAAGGAGAGTAAAAACAGTTCCTGAGACTGAGCTACTAAGACCTCTGAGCCCTTGACAGGACTGGTAGAATACAGGGACATCATCATCTATTACGTTGCAAAAAGGGTTCCTCCTTAGACCTGACTTCCTTTACTTGTACAAGCACAATGGTTGGTACATATTCACAATGGATATTTACATATGCAAAAAATATAGCTGAGACCATGCTCTGAAGCAGAAATTTTGGAGAAGTATGGCTCTACTTAAAGAACTAAACTGCTTTTGGCTAATATAACAGTTTTCCCATACTGTGGGCAGTCATAGCTCTAAGTCAGGATTTAGACTGCATAGGCACTGTGACATTTATTTTGAGAAGCACGTGCTCTTTACACAATTGCTTACAGGAGATAAACCCCTAACACAACCAGAAAGAAGACTGGCATGGCAGAATCTTTACCTTGAGTTGGAAGAAGGATAGTATGTAAAAAGGATTAGCTTGGTCAAGTTCAGTCTTGAGCCAGATAGTGTTTAAAACTGAACAACTGGGCCGGGCGCGGTGGCTCACGCCTGTAATCCTAGCTCTCTGGGAGGCCGAGGCGGGCGGATTGCTCAAGGTCAGGAGTTCGAAACCAGCCTGAGCAAGAGCGAGACCCCGTCTCTACTATAAATAGAAAGAAACTAATTGGCCAACTAATATATATAGAAAAAATTAGCCGGGCATGGTGGCACATGCCTGTAGTCCCAGCTACTTGGGAGGCTGAGACAGAAGGATCGCTTGAGCCCAGGAGTTTGAGGTTGCTGTGAGCTAGGCTTACGCCACGGCACTCACTCTAGCCTAGGCAACAAAGCAAGACTCTGTCTCAAAAAAAAAAACAAAAAACTGAACAACTGAAGCCTTGAGAAATGTTTTTCTAAAAAACAAACTTCTTTTTATTATTAACTTATAAGGGAATATTGTAAGAAAGTGCCCTTTTGTCACTTCATAGGTATCGCCAGTGCTGAGTTTCACCTGCTATCTGATATGATTGTCTTGCTGAGAAGCACACCCTCATGAGTAGGTCTCCCCTACACAGAGTAAACATTCTTATCACCAGTCATGCCAGGAAAAGTTGTATTTGGGACAGGACACAAGAATTTGGAAGGCAGGCCCTACCCTGTAGATAAGAAAGAAATAGTACTTTCTTTGGCCTTACTGTAGACCAAAGCCTGCAAGTGCTGAACAGCAGCACCCCATGGTAATGGGGGGAACCTGGTTTCTGTCACCGGTGTGCAGAGTCACATCCCATGAAACAATATCACTTTATTTCAAAGAGGTTGCACCATCAATAGCTGTAAAACAAACTAAGCAAACAGAGCTAGCCACTAAGGCGAAGTCACTTCCCCAAGGTCACACAGCAGGCCAGCGGAAGAGGCAGCATTTGAACTCAGGGCAAACAGTTGCCACAACTGGCCACTACCGAATACGAAGCAGAACTGTCACCTAAGAACAGCGGATGGGCTCTCCCTTCAGCACATACTTAGCAGATTCAAAATGTCTAACTAGGCCAGAAGGGAAGAGGTGAAATACAGGTTTAATCTTTAAGGTCATGAACAAGAGAAGGACAATGAAGAACTCAGGAGAGACCAAAGACCAACATAAACCTCAACACAAATTAGACAGGCAGACAACTTCTCCAAACCCTTTTCACTATCCCGATGTCCCAAAAGTCACGTTTAAAATTACAAAATCTGTGTGCATTATGTCAAAGACAATTTGTAGAAAAGGCAAAGGATGTGAATTATCTCAACCTTTTCAGTTTTTTATTAGTAAATTGGGAAAACAAGAGCTAGCTCCTAAGACTGTTGCTATAATTAAGACAAATACCAGAAAGTCCATCACAGACGAAGGACTTTGTTCCAATGTGTGACACATTGCCAGCTTTGCCTTATACCCAAGTGCATCCACGGGCCTTCCCTCTGGAGTCATTTGATCTCACATGATTATGCTGCTCGGTTGCCCAAAGGCCGGAGCTATGAATCGAATGTTGCCAGACAATGAATTATTTGACAAACACTGAATTTTAAAAAGTATTCAGTGTTATCCAAGTATGAGGATATTATTAATGTAGGCTTTTCCCTACAGAGAGCTACTCTAACAATTAAAAAAAAATGGGGGCGAGGGGAAGGGCACTTCCCACCTTCGTTCTTATTCCTAAAGTAATACCTTCTTCAAAAGATAAAAAGTACTAACACATTTGCCCTTAAAGGGCAGAGCCTGGGAATTGTGGAGCTCTCTGAACTCTCCTCCCCTTCTGGTAGGGACCAACCCGCCTGCTGCACCTCATGTCACAGGCAGTCCTCCGTGCTACACGCCTCCGTGTTTACTTCTGCCGCCCGCCACTCCGGCGGGGCAGGGGGGTACCCCGCCGCCCCTCTCTTTCGCTCCTGCAGCTTTCCAAACAACCCAGGGCGCGATGGGAGTGTCTTCTTGGCTGTGGAAACTGATCCTCCTACCTTGTCCTGAAGCCACCCGCCGCCTTTCCCGGGCCCTCCCTTCGCGGTGATTTTCCTGTCCCGGACGCCCGGCTAGGGCGCGCGTCCGCCCTGCCCGAAAGGTAGGGATCCGCTGAGCTCCCGCCCCGCCGCCCTGGGGGACGGCGAGTTCCGCTGCATCCTTCCTCACAGCACCTTCCTCCGAGTTTGGGGGCGCCGTGGCCACCGCGCATCTGGCGCCAGTCGCCGAGCAGGAGGAGCTTCCCGCGGCTCGCGAGGCGCTCAGCGCGGTCGCCAGGGATCCGGACCCGGGCGCAGCGGTCAGCGCGCGGCTGGCGGGTGCCCGGACTCCGGGTGGCGCTGCGCCCTCCTCCGCTCCCCCGCCAAGGTCCGGGGGGCAGGAATCCCGCCTGCCCCGCGCCACCTTCCTCCGGTTTCTGCCAGTCGTGGGCTTCGGCGGCCCGATGCGGCAGGCGCCGCCGGAGAGGCAGCAGCCAGCTGGAGCGAGCGGCGCGGGCGGCGGCGAGCAGCGGGCCCCCGGCCGCGGAGCCCGGCACGCCTTTGCGGTCGTCGCCCCTGGGCCTCGGCGGGTAACTCTCCGGCTTCGCTGCGGGTTTGCGTAGCCCGGGTGAGGGAGGTTGGGGGTGCGCAGAGACCGCGTTCCGGACCAGGCTCCGGGAGGCCTGGAGTCTGTGCTGCCCAGACCCTCTGCGGCTAAGCGGTGGGGTGGAGACTCGGTGCGCCGGATGCCCCTCCACACACCCTGCCAGCACCAAGGACTGCGTCGGGCGGCGGCGTAATGGAGCCCGGGCGCGGGGACCTGCGAGCCAGTTGGGGTGCGCCGAGGCGGCGGCAGGGAGAGTGCCCGGGGGTCCTGGAGCTGCCGCGGGCGCCCCGAGGACCTGCTCTGGGATCCCTTTTCTGTAGTCGCTGGCGAGGCTGTGCTCTGGGAAGCCCAGAGGGGAGACCAGCTCCCGGCTCACTATTGTCTTGTAAAAGGGTCTGTACACGAGGAGGGGCGAGGGGTCTGGAAGGTTCTTGTCTTTTGCCTTAGGAAGTTTTTTCGAGGAACCTTTCTTCGCACCACAGAACCAGACCTAACAAAACAAACACCGAGGCACCTTGGGGGCGGGGGTGGGGGGTGGGGGAAGGCGGCGAGAAAATCGCAGTGTTTGGGCTCCCGTTAATTTTCAGGATAAGGGAAAAGAAACTTGTCATTTTGCGGCCGCTAGCTCAGGAGCGCCCAGCGATCTCAAGCCCCTTTCTTACCTGCTGTTTTTTGGCTTAAAAGAAAATCCGTAAAAAGTGATTTCCAGAAACCAAAAAGAAACCCAAAGAATCCTCATTTAGGATCTTCGGTGGAGGCCGGGGGAAGTGGAACAGGCGGGGGAGCGGAGGTTGCTGTTCAAAGGTAGCCCTTGAACACAGTGGGTGGGGGTGGGGTTGAAAACCAGTGAATGGTGAATGGTAGCGTATCGGAAGCCACCCAGATCACGTTTGCTTTGAGAGGACCGCCTGAGTACTGTGATTAGGTAGATCATTAAGAAACTGCAGACTGGCTGGAAGCTTCTCCTCTTCTGTGGTCCCAATGCCCATGTCCACGGTGACCTTCCAGCCCTGTACCTTTCTTTTTATATGCTAGCCTGAATATTTGACTTTCCGGTCTTGAATCTTCCTCACCTAGCTGCAGACCATGCAACTGCCTTTTTATTTACATGGAGATGTTAAATAATTGGGGAGATTTGGTCAGGCTGCGGGTTAAGCATGCTGATTTGACATTGTAAGTTGGTTTGTGTTGCTTCCTTTTCGTCTCATTAAGGACTGCTTTTCATACCAAGATCTGCAAAAGAGACACCTTTAGATTGTTACTTAGTTTGTTGTCTTTGACTTAGTTTTTTTGTCTTTGAATAAGGCTAACTGCTTCAGAGGCACTCTAGATAATGGCAATATTGTTTTGTTAGAAAAGAACTTCTCTAGAAAGTGTTACCCTGGTCTGGCTTCCCAGACTGTTTTAATGGTAACGAGTGTGAGGGGGAGATGGTTATTCCTTGCCCCTTACAACTTTCTTTAATAGCATTTTTACCATATAGTCCCTGAATGTCACAGTCTCATTGTACTATATCTTGTTCTAATGATGCAATAAAATGGGACTGCAATTTTTACTAGATTGCAGTAGATTTGTTGGAGATATCCAATTTGTTCTTATGCCCCAAATAAATAAAAATGTTTGAGGCTAAGAAAGAATAGAAAATGACAGAAGAATGCTATTAAGAGACATACCATTAAAAAACATCAGTTTGACTTTTGTGAAATTATAATTCTCAGGTTTTCTCATTCCAGAAGTCAGTGGCAGAGGATCGAATTTCACAGCCATTTTCTTCTGTTGGAGACATTTGTGTTCTATATCACGTGGAACCTTATGGGAGGAGGAGAGAATAATGCCATGTTTTCTGTATTTCCCTGGTAAGCATCATCTGCTAACTATGCAGATTGCCAGATGGCTGCCATGGAAATTATGATTCCATCCAGGGGTGGGACCAGAGATCTGTTTAACATGCATTCTAGGTGATGCTTATTGAGGAGGTGAAGGAAGCATGGAGCCTATTTGTGGCACTCACCCACTCAGATCCGTGATGTGTTTTTATGCCATTATATTTAATCTTCTCAACAGCCCTATGAGACAGGAATCTATAGCCCCATTTTATAGCTAAAAAATTAAGACTGCCAAAGGTTTAGTGATAATGGCTTACGTTAAGGTCTAATACTACCTCTGCCTTACACTATCTGAGGAAGCCTCATTAGTATACATTCTTCACAAATTCTTCCATTACTTGTAATTTCTTTGTCCTTTGCTTTGCACACATTCAATTTATATATACCTTGGTGTGAATATACATTTTCAGTTACCCCTCAGGCTGGGCTTCTTGAACAGGTGGTCTGCACATTTTGCCACACTTTCCTTTTGACACCTTCAGACTTCAGGTATCTTCTATCTTCTGTATATCTATTCTTTAATTTTTAATTGTTTTTTATTTTTTAGAGATTGGATCCTCACTATGTTGCCTAGGCTGGAATGCAGTAGTACAATCATTGCTCACTATAACCTTGAACTCCCTGAGCTCAAGTGATCCTTCTGCCTCAGCCTCCTGAATAGCTGGGACTACAGTGCATGTCAACACACCCTGCTATTTAAAAATTTTTTTTTGTAGAGATGGAGTCTTGCTATGATGCCCAGGGCCTCAAGCAATTCTCCTGCCTCAGCCTCCCAAAGTGCTGGGATTACAGGTGTGAGCCACAATACTTGGCAGTTTACATCTTTGATGTGCCATTTAGGTGTACTATGTCTGGCCAAATCCAAGAGGTAATGCTATTTCTAATAGGTCATATTCCAAAAGTTCTTTTCTTTCTGAATATATTTTCACTGAAGCTCTTGCTCACCCTTCAAGGACCAGCTATATTTTGCCTGGAAAAAGTCTTCCTAGGGTAAGATTCCTATCCTCACAGTTGTAATGAACCTCTTTCTCCTATCTATTCCATCCACAATGGATAGTAGCACACATGACAATTTCCAGTTAACCCTTAGGCTTAAAAATTGTATTTGCTTTGGAGTGAGCTTGATGCATGGAATAAAATGTATGCATTACAATGTTTGAGGAAACTATATTTATGGTTCCATATCAAGGTATTAGAAACACAGTTCCCTCACCCTGTGGGGTAGCACGAATTCTTTCTCCATGGTGACACTTCAGCACTGAATCAGCTGTGATGTTTCAGACTTGGTAAGGAACTTGACTGCTGCGAGGTTGGTCTAAGAAGGGTTGAGATTCTGGCAGTGAGGTTATGAGGGTGACACAGAATAAGGAACATTAGGATTGTACTTTCTTCCCCATGTCCATATTACTTTTTCTTGGAAAGCTTTTGGTAATCAAGGGGAAATGGCCAGCTTACCTTTTACTGCCATAACCTTCTGCATCTGATCAGGGGCTTTTCTCTTCCTGGACCACTGGGAAAGAGGGGAAGGAAAGCACCCCGCTCTTAGGAGATTTGCTTCACCATAAGCTCTGAAAAGCTGAGTGAAAAAGTTCTGTTGTCCTCCATTCTCTTTCCCTTTCTTATATGCTTGGTATAAGATGAAGTATGCACATGGCATCCTTTTTTTCAGTAGCATCTAATGCTGGGCTTTAAAAGGAGTCTTTAAACATTTATTTAGTTTTTATCCAGTTGGAAATAGAAAGATCTTTAGGTGATGATGAGAATAAGGTGAGTATCAGAAAAGGAGTGTTGTTGGGAAAATTAAAAAGAAAGAAAGAAATTGAAAATTAATTTAAAAATAAAAAGAGAATAAGGTGAGGAGACTGGAGAGCCCTCCAAATGTGGTGGGGTCACCCCACAGTTGTGGAAACGGCCCTGGGATTGGTATGGCTATGGGGCATAGTCACTGTGCTGGGAGCTGGGAGCAACAAGAGAGCAGAGAGTGGTTTTGCAGTGGATACTGGTGATTGTCTTCGTGGTCAGCCAGTATTTACTGAGCATCCACCATGTAACATGAGTTCTTCTCGGGAGGCGGGAGTACAGTGTTGTACGAGACAACAGCCCCTGTTCTTACAGAGCTTACGTTGCTGTGGGCAACAGTCAATAAAGGAGATACAAATAAATGACAAAGCATATTTCAGATAGAATGGGTGTCACAAAGATAATACGACATGGGAGTGTGATAGAGACGGGATAGAGGAAGCTACCTTAGAGCAGTCAGAGAGCTTCTCTTCCGAGGTGATATTTGACTGAGCTGTGAATGACAGAAGCAGCTAGTCAAGTGAAGAGCAGAAGGAGCAGCATTCCAGGCAGAGGCAATGGCAACTGCGGGGGCCCTGAGGCATGAGTGTATCTGAGGTGTTTGAGAAACAGAAGATCAGCGTGAGAAGACAGTGGTCGGGACAACTTGCAGCTGAAGAAGAGTGTGAAAGGGGGAGAGTGGGAGGAGATATAGTCAACAAGGTAGATGGAAGGCAGATGTTGTGAAGCCTTCAAACCTTGGAAAGAAATTTGAATTGTATTCTAATTAGATTGCGATGCCAGTGAAGATTTTTGATTAGGGACCAAGTCTTCACCCAGTGGGCATGGGTTTTCAGCTCTCTCTCTGTTTCACACACTCACATACTCTTCCACTTCCACTTGCACTTTCAGTTGGTTTTTCTTCTCCCTGTTAATTGTCCATCACTGGTTTCCCCTCCTTTCCCCAAGCCAGGGCATAGGCATATCCACACACACAGGCAGGGCTCAGAGAACCCTGTACCATATTCTTATCGTCTGAAATATACTCACATACTCACGTAGTTTCACCTTCATGCATGAAACGCTCCATCACTAGCCCTGATTTCTCAACTGCTCTCCAGACTGAACATCCAGTGTCTCTAAGAAGTCTCTGGGTTGGCTGTTGACATCTGAAACTAGATACTAAAAATTAAGTTAATTATCTAGTCAAATCATAACTGGTATCTTCTGCAAGACAATCATTGTTGCAAGAGGCAGTGTTCTGAATAATCAAAGGCCTTGCCTTTTCCTGAATTCCTGCTCCTTTTCTCCTGGGCTGCTTCCTATGCAATCTGTCATGGGAGGTTCATGCTCTGTTCATAGTATAGTTTCAGTGGAAATGTACAGGACTCTTATGGTATTTGTCATAGAAATATACTACACCTGAGCATTTTATTTCTATTGTTCTTTGTATATGATATTGGCAGTTTTAGTAGCATTAAAATTATCTTAAATTTATAATTTCTGTTAAATTAGTAATGCTGGTTTATTAGAAATAAACAGAAGGTCCCAGCATTTTATCAACTATCCTTTGATTTCAGGATGTCTCATCATGACCAGTATATTACGCTCTGGGGAAGCCTGGCACAATTTTTATAGAGAAACTTGTTTCTGAAATTCTTTAGCCAGATGACCCACTCATTTGTTAATTTACATACTTAACTAATATACCTAACAACTAATGTTCAACTTTTTTTTCCTGATTAATGTAGTTGCAAAAAAATTTGGAACATATTTCTGTTTGAGAGGGCAGTGGTAGTGCCTTGTCTAGTTCACCTCAATGTCTTCCGCACCCGGCAGAATGCCCAGCATATTAGAGATTCAGCAAACATTTGTCACATGACTTAATCAGACTCCATTGATTGACTTACAGGGTTAATACAGATGCTCCTCCCATCAGATTACATCTTGAAAACCCATCATAAAATGAAAATATCATTAAGTCTAAAATGCATTTAATCTATCTAGCCCACCAAACATGCTGGCATAGCTTAGCCTACCATAAACATGCCCTGAATACTTACATGAGCCTACAGTTGGGCAAAATCATCTAACACAAAGCCTATTTTATAATAAAATGTTGAATATCTCCTGTAATTTATTGAATACTGTACTGAAAGTGAAAAACAATAGTAATTGTAAGTTGAACTATTCTAAGTCGGGGACTGTCTGTATATTAGCTCAGTTGTAACATCTTTGATTCATACTTCACCCATTGGAGAAAATAGGTGAAAAATGAATTCATCCCTATGGATTTATATATATTAATGAAAACACTTTTGGTTCTGAAAAGTGTTTTTCTTCCTGAAAATATTGTAGTATACGTATGCTGTCAAAGAAGAGGTTGGCATGTAAATGTCACCAGATGGATATTCTCAAATTTGTTTTCATGTGCAGTAAACTTTTAGTAAAGTTTCATCATTCCTAATTTGTGATAATTTAGGCTGGGCTAGTCAGGTTATTGGTTACATTACTGAGAAAATAAATGGGGCAAGAATGTGAATAACAAAATCATCTTCCTCTTATAATAATAATAGTACATCTTTTATGTTCACGATTTCATGCATTTATTTTTAAGCACTTTAGTAGGCCAAGATTTTACTGCTTAAGTTCCAACTGCTTATTATATTTCCTAGATTTCTATTAGCTATCACTTAACCTAGTTTAAGACACAAACAAATGCTGTGGGGAATAAAAATACTCTTCTTATCAAGATTGCCAGAGTTGGGAGGAGTCAGGAGAAGCCCATAGCAGAGAAGGGAGAGACAGGCCCAAGAGAGGGGGTCCAGCCGTAGGCTCTAGCTGAGACTCAGGGTGACAGAGATTCTCACAAAGAGTGATGTCTTCAGAGGGCAGCCTCTTGGTTGATAGAGGTATTCTGTATACACATTTTAAAAATTCTAAGTAAAGGCTCTGTCTTTTATATTTGTTTTCTCCTATCCCATGAGAACACTATACTGTATAAGCACAGCCTTCTTGACTTAGAGCTGATTCTATAGAGTCCCCTTCTGTCTCATCAGAATTTAGTCTTCACACATATCAGCCCACTGCTTCTGACTTTTTGGTGGAGTTTTCATCTTGGGAAATATTCTGTTGCTAAAATTTAGGCCAGCTCCATAGACAGAAGTCTCAAATGCTTCTATTAAAATCTT